GGTGGCGCCCGGGTGGCCTTCACGAGTGACCGGGCGGGCTCGCGGGGCCCTAAGCCCCTTCTGCGTCTCTCTCGCACAAACCCGCGCTCCTTTCCCGGAGGACCGAGAGGCAGGGGCGGCAGGGAGGCGGGGGTTCTCCCCCGTGTCCCTGTCCGGGGAACAGTGCTCCCTCCGGCGCACCCCGGGAGGGCGGTGCTAAGGTCTCATATCTGTCTTGACGTTTAAGGAGGTTAGCACTTCCCAGTCCTCTCCTTTTGTTCCAGCCCTACGCACAGTGTGAGAAGGGCATGATTTCAAAGTTTCAAGGCATATCCTGCTTTGGATGTTGTTTATTTTTTGGCATAAAAGCATTGTTTGCTGTCTAAATGGCATTTCTGATCAATTGCAGTAAGAAAATACTTCTAATTTGCAGTGAAAAGCTGCATGAAAAATAGTTAAAAATGCTTCTCTTCAGTCTTTATGAAATGCTGGTGTTTTGTGCTTTCTTTAATCGTGAGGAAGGCAGCTGTCTTTTGTAGCAGTAAAATAGAATGTGCTCATTATGTCAGTGAGAATAAAGCGTGTGTTGTTGTACCGTGGTGCATTAACACTGTCCTCTCTTGTGGAGACCAGCCAGTTCTGCTGAGCCTGTTCAGTAGCCTCACAAGTACTGTCTCAAGTACTTTAATGCTACCAGATGTAATATCTTCAACTGATAGCAAAACAAACACTCCTTGCTAATGCCTTTTCTTTTTCTCATTGCACTTTTCTTCTCTTCCTCATTTCTTTGTTTTGTTTTGTATTGTTTTATTGAGAACTGGTTTGACCAGTACTGCAGCAGAAGCAAGGCATTATTGATATTAAGAGTTAGCTCTGTCAGTCTGCTCCCTAACTACTCTTTTTCATCTAGCAGATCTCTTTGCATGTGATTTAAGCTTTTTTTCCCCCTGTTGAATTGCACATTGGTTTAGTTATGTTACTTTTAATTGGTTTGTGTTCACATTGTGTTGGAATTTAGACTTGGTCTAATCACTTGGCAGATATTTAATGAAGAACTACAGGTCTGTACCTCAGTGTCCTTCAGACTTTGGCTCTAAACACAGTGGCTGCAAAATGGGGAAGTGCAAATAAGCAATAAATGAAGGTAGATACCTGAAGATATCAGTGAGTTCTGAAATGTGCAGGGTATGACAGCTAAACTTGAATTCTCTTGCAGATTGATAGGCAGCAGTTTGAGGAGACTGTCCGAACACTGAATAACCTCTATGCAGAAGCTGAAAAACTTGGGGGCCAATCTTACCTTGAAGGGTGTCTCGCCTGTCTGACTGCCTATACCATATTCTTGTGCATGGAAACGCATTATGAAAAGGTGCACCTCTTTTGTTTACCTTGTTACTTGGAAGGCAGTATGTTTTACAGACTTCAGTCAAAGACTTATTTCTTGGTAGGTTTTCTGTGACTCGCACCATTGTACAAATTCCATATAGACTCTGAATCTTACTGCAGAGTGATTTCACTTATAGATAAGACAGCCTTGTCTATATTAGTCAATCTGAGTAATGGAATGATTGCTTGTACTTCAGAGGAATCATACAAGTTCTGTCTCTAGTTTTGTGCTATGCTCTCCTAATGTTGCTATATCTGTGGTATTGCTGGGGCTCTGACTCTAACATAGGGAAACCTGATGGAAGGAACTGACTTCTGTGCTGTTCTGTTACCAGGTTCTAAAGAAAATTGCCAAGTTCATTCAGGAACAGAACGAGAAGATTTACGCTCCTCAGGGCCTCCTTCTGACAGACCCCATTGAAAGAGGACTAAGAGTTGTATCCTTCTGTGGTTTCTTAGGTGGACAAACCAGGAGACAATCTATGATGTGCTACCTGTTTATCTCAGTATGGCACCCTCTGGTTGTGCTTGATCTGTGATACAGCAGAATGTGTGATTAGTCTTGTCACTCTCCATTGTGTACTGTTCTCTGGTCAGATTTTAGTACATTAAAATTTGTCACATTGGAAGACAACAAAAATGCAGTATTGGAATCCGTCCTTTGAGACTTCCTTGAAATCACAGTATGTATAAACAGAGAATTTTCAATACTTCACATGCTTCCTCTGTTTCAGCAACGACTAAAAATGCAATTTGTCCAATTGGGGGGGAAAAAAGTGACCAGCTTGGTAGGATAGAAATTGATGATGTGAAAGCAAGAGATGGCTGTTTAATTTGCAACCCTCAGCTCAGGTTCTGGTGCAGATTTCGCCATATGACATCACTGTAAGTTGATACCAGCCTAGCGCTTGCTCTTGGTTCTAGCATGGCTTAGTTCAACCGTTTTTCTTCAACTCTTGAGCCACACTGCAGACATTTTATCTAGTTATTACCTTGCTAGTTGTAAAGACCTTGCATAGTAAATGTAGGGGTAGAATGACTAACATGTGTCATTTTTTGAGAGTAATGGAACCGAAGCAACTTGAAACACAGAATGCTAATTAAATGCATACTAAGGCTAATTCCTTGCAGTTGGGTCATCTGTGTATTTGTCTAAATAGCTTAGAGCTGTCACCTACATGACTTGATTATTTTCAATATGTTTTCCACAATTTTTTATGCATATACCTCCTGAAAAAGTAATCAACTTATTAAAAGCATTTTCAGTTTGGTTAGTGACTTAGTAGCTGAACTGTAGAAGTGTTAACTTCTGTCTGGTGCATAGCCTTTTCTGAGATCTAACAGGAGGTGGCAAGGCTCACAAACACTTCACGCTCAGCATCTTCTGCTCTTATTGTCAGAACAGTCCTGGGCTGGATGGACCACTGATCTGACCAGACAGGGCATCTCTTATGTGTACTGTTCCATTTGCTTTGTAGCTCTGAAACTAGCCCTGAAACAGCAGGTATGAAGCAGAAAGATCAAAGGTTCTAATATCTTCTTTCTTTCTTTCTTTTTTTTTTTTTTCATAATCTTCATATAGTATGTTTCCGTAACACTTTTTCTATGCAGATTGAAATTACCATTTATGAAGACAGAGGTATGACCAGCGGAAGATAAAACTGTGGAGTTTCAGGTACGTGTTAATCTTATACTAGATCAATCTCAACCACTTTTCTGTGCTCAAAGGGGTAGATTCTGTCACACTGAGACAGAATATTTGTTCCACCACTGTATGTAGTCAAAGGCTGTCCACATAAATCTTGTGTGGACTGGCTTTTCTGAATAAATAGAAATATCAATACTTGGCATTTTGTCACTAGATGTTAATACAGATCAGATGATACGGGATTTACCTTTAGAGAAATCCAAGACTTGACTGTGTAAATACGCATAAACCTAACTTGTGCTGTATTATGTCCAAAATTGTTCTCTGTTCTACACATAAAACAATCTTTTTTTTATTACAAACAGTTTTCAGACTAATAGCAAGAGAGAAATACTAAAGAAAAATTGTTGATGGTGCTATACTAGCATCTGCCTTTCCTGTACAGCTGTGAAAGATACAGCTCTTCCTTTCAAATGTTTTCAGTGGTACCTCCAAGCAGGGTCTGTTTTAAAAGTTTCTGTGTTTCCAGCACTTGTGAAATCAAGGTTATTACCACAGTGTGTTAAGGATCCCATTGTATTTTGCCTAGAAGTCAATATTACTAGCCCCAGAATCCTGAACAAATCAAGGTAATTGCATTTTACCTTCTTGGTTCTAAGTATATAAAGAGTCACTTCTATATACTGTTGAGTTGCAGCTTTTCTGTTCCAGAAGAGACAGAACAGTTAACTACTGTTGCCTGGGGTGACACTTTGGTTCCATGTGCCAAGTGGTAGGATTCTTCAAAACCTCTTCTGTTCAGAAACATTTGATAAGATACTGTATAAATATAGAATATTTTATCTGCTGTCCTGAATCTTAGAGTATGGCGTATTCTAAGAGTCAAATTTTACACAGCCCAAAAGGGAAAATGCAAGTAACTTACTATGTAGTATTACTAAATCCTTTCAGTGCTTTTTCTAACCTGCCTCTGCTACACATCACTAGGATTTCTCTTTTGGTAGTCTGCTTATGACTGACCCATATTTACAGTGCGTATAAACTAGATACTGCAAGCTGGAGCAGGCCATGAAAAGAAGTTCTGATAAAGCAAAACGGTGAAGATTCTTGCTGATGCATACCTGTTTCTAAACAACTCTGCCTTGTAACTTGGCATCACTTGTAGATGCCAATTCTGTCTCAAAATACCCTTTATCTGGTTATTAGCACTCAGGAATCTGTTGTATTGCATGGCACTTGTGTTCTGCTGTTGGAATAAGTTTGTGTTTTATCAACTGCATCTGCATATATTTGGCATAAGCCATTTGTCATGACTCATTTCACAGCAATTATTGCAGAATGTTTTGGTAGGTGATGTGGGTTTTGAGCAGTTACATAAAAGCTAGTCTGTCAGTGTTCAAACAACTGAAATTTCAAAAATGAAGAACGACTTTTAGCATGAGTTCTGGAGAGTTTGATGAATTGCAAATATTTATGGTCAGTAAACATCTGTTTTGAAAGGAGTATGAGTACCCAAGTAAGGCTGATCTGGAACTGGAGCTTTATCAGATACTCATCTCCTCAGCTGACACCTCGTCATTTGGAGACTGCACACGGTCCTGGATCATCTGTTTGTGAACACAGCCTACATGGGCTCTACAAAATGCGGACTGTCTTTCTGTCCTGTGTAGTGGTAGAGGATAGGACACTGGCTAGGACTAAGTGATGTATCTCAGGACTTCTAATGGTCTCTGCAGCATCTGTGTAACTTCAGAGGAACTCTGAGATCTGCTACTGTCTTTCAGATCTTTTCCTACCCAATAGTTTTTAGTGGAAAAATCTTTGCATGAGGCTGTCCATGAGTGTATTCTAGCATACAAAACCTTTTTTATTGCAGTTTTTCAGCTGGATGCTGTTCCAGTTCTCACTTTGGTAGCTTTACTCATGATGCTTTCAGTATAGAGTGGCCAGCAACATCTAGCTTTGGTGGCTTTAATTGAAAAAAGTTGCTGAAAGGCACTTAGTTTTCATAATACTGTGTGGCAGAGTCACAAAGTGAAAAGAATGCTTAAAGTACTTGAAAGTGAAATGCTAAAATAAAGGATCATGCTAATTGCATACAGTATAAAGCTGCAAAATTACTATCCCTGGGTTTCCAAAATACCTATTGAACTTTCATTAAGCTTTGCTTTTGAAAAGCTCAAATTTGAACTGGCTCCCTTGTCTTGTGTACTCTGCAGATCCTGGGATGGCAGTCTAAGTCTAGGTTGTTGGCAATCTGTGCAGAAAAGAGATTGGAAACATTTATGGCTGTTATGCAGAAAGAAGCAAAGAAGTAAAGGTCTTTATTTCCTGTTAGACTAATGAAATCTAGAGTGTTGGCTTCAGTTCCTGCTACTTGCCACAGCACGTGGTAACCCTACCTTTTCTGCTACATACTTCCTAAGATAACAAAATATAGCTATGTTGAGATTTGTGTAGGGTTTTGTTGGTTTTATTTAGTAATAGTTTCTAATAATATGAACCTTCTTTTCTAGCATATAGCTCAACAGTGGACTCGCTGTATCAAAGTTCCCCTACCTCCTACTTTAGAGCATCATTCCTTTCTCTGCTGCCAGATCCACAGTGCCATCTACTACAAGGACTAACTTCCTAAAACTGCTCCACATGGGGTGACCTAGCTGGTCAGCATCCATTTTGTGGCAAACTTTTTAGTTTGGTGGGTTGTTGTTTGTTTTTTTTTTTTTACAAGAAAAAGCAGAAGTGGTAAAGCTACATACTCTTCTGAAAAAAATGGGGCACCTAGCCCAACAGAAGTCTAGTTTTAGTCACTTAAGTGCAGTGCTGTTCCTCCCTAGTTCTTAAACCCTTCTGTACATCAATCGGGCTTTGGAAAGCTACAAGTCAGAGGTGGGAATTTTCCAGAAACGAGGTCTTCCCTTCCTGGAGTGAGGGGACACGCAGTGCCTCTGCCTGGTGAGAAGTGACTCAAGGCAACGAGCATTTTACGCTTCCTGTGCTGATTCTTGTGGAAAACCAGAAGGCAAAGTGTTACTTGTTTTTAATGTTTTGGTTGTTCCCAGAAGGGGGAGGAATAGCCGGACTTTAATACGGTGTTTTTTCTACTACTGTATCTGTGCTGTTATTGCATCTGTCAATGCTCACCAGAAGAGGGGGTCTATTCGTTCATGAAACAGTAAGTACAATAAAATGGATGCTGAACCAATAAACATAACAATTCCTGCCCTACTCTGATTAATATGTGAAGTGTAAAACTGTTTCTTTATGGATTTATTATATATAATTTATAGGAACACATTGATTTGACAAACCGTTAGATGTTGTATAAGATGGTTTCTTAATTCTGTCTGCTGGCACACTATTGAAAAGTAGAACTGTGCATTACTTAGTATCCCCCACGCATCGACATTCCTCAGCAATACCTGCAAAAGTAAAATTCCTACAAACCAAGCTGGCTTAATATTTTTCTCTTGTATCCTTTTCCCTTATCAAAGCAAGGATGTCCTGGTTTAGGTTTTTATTGTCCAATTGTAGAAGGAATTCAAGAATTTAGCAAAGGAGACTTATGCAGAACAGATAGAGTTTTGGTTTTGGTGGTACTGTAGGTGCTAATACTGGATCTGAAATTCCAGGCTTATTACTCAGCCACTGATTTTCTTTTGGGGTTTGTTTTGGGTTTTTTTTTTTTGAGATTTGTTTAATATTTTAATTGTATAAAACTTGTTTTTTTCTAAACTGTAACAGTGTTTGCCTTTCACATCTGTTGCAATATTGGCAGAAGTACTAATGGATTAGTAAATTTTTTCTTAAACTGTGTCTGTGTCATACTTGATAGCACTGCTTTGCATGAAGTAGCACTAGGGTGAGATTTTTCCTCCTGCAGTAGCAGGGTCTCAGTTGTGAACAGAGACAGTCATGTCAAGACTACTCCATGCATCATGTCAAGACCACTCCATCCGATAAGGTGTACTTTGGGTAACACTCGTGTTTACCATCAGTAGTGAGAAACGCGATGTACTTGCAGTGTCTGACTGAGAGTATGACAAGCACACCCGTGACGCCGGTGGCTTTGTAACGCAGAGGCTCGTTGTCCTGCTCCCCCCGTTCCACAACCACCGACCTGAGCTCTGTGCAGCAGCTGCCCTGGGCTGGTTAACGAGCACGCTAATTAGCGGGGCCCTGCAGGCCGTGCTCGGCCTTTCTCCTCTGTCACGTCACTGCGTGGTCAAAGACAGACGCGGTTTTCTGTGCACTTCTCGCTCAGCGGTGTTTTTCAGCCGCCTTTGGCGGCTCGGACCGGACGGGCTGTGCCGTTTCCCACCGGCCGCCGTCTTCTCGGGGGCGCTGCGCCTGCGCAGGGGGCGGAGCCGAGCGCCTGCGC